AGGATAGCATGTTTTTGGGGTATACCCCCATATTGTAGTACTTGTATTTATGAAATTGATATTGATTTCTTCGAATGACATCTCTAATCTACTATGCCAAGATGAGCCGATATTTCTGGTGGGAAGAATGATGTAATGTCAGTAGAGAAAGAACTATTACGAGAAATTTTATGTTAAAAGTAATAGAAAGACATAATGGTTCTTTTTCAGATAACTTATAGGATGGAGTTAATTAGTTTTTCCTTGTTAATTTTCTAGGTGGACTTGTTTTACTTTGATTATGTTTGGTGTCCATAAATAGCTAGTCTAACTTAGTTATTTGATGGACTTTTATGATTGTTATACAAGCATTCTTTAGATATTGATTATTAGTGGGATCTGATGTCCCTGATGGTTCTTTATTAATTTTCTCAATAATTGTTTCCAGGCTCTCTGTCCTGCATCAATTTGTTACTAGACTTTAACTTTAACCTGTAGTGACATGGTGTTGCTGATATAGTTAACCGGAGGAAAAATTGGTGATCGGCTAATGGCTGAAGCTGAAACGAATCTTGCCATAAATGTAATTCCTGGCTTGTCAGAATCGTATGAGGTTCAGGGAAGGGGGGAACTTCAACTGGGTTTGTTCTTCTTAGCCTTTAACAGAGTTTCATATTCATCTTATAAGAAAAAAAATAAAGTTTCATATTGCTCCACAGCGAACGATGCTATACAAGTCAGTTTGCATTCAGAAATCCATTATAGAAATTTCTTATTCATATCTGCTAAATGTTGCATTACTCTGTCACGAACAGGTATCTTGATTGAGAATATGAGGCGTGAAGGATTTGAACTTTCTGTCTCACCACCTAGAGTCATGTGAGTTTCATATGTTTCCAAGTATTACTTTGTGAGGCATTGTGTAGCACATGCATAATAGAGTCAGATATTGCAACTGAGGGAATTGGGGTGATATTTTGCTACATGTTTCACAAGCTGATATGTTCAACTTATTTCATATATTGTTCATCTGATTGGAAAAATATTATTAACAAGTAATTTAGTGGGATAAATGCCCAATTTAATTATATTTTTTGCTGTTCATTTATATTTTGGTTCCTATTCCCCTTCGAAGTTTCTGATACAGTTTTATCCCTCTTTTTGTCATTAACTAGAGCTAATTCTTGACTCTGCTCTATGAGAAAAGTAATTGCTTTGCTACGAACGAAAAATGTTACATTTTATCCTATAATTAATGTGTATGATTTCTTTCTATTAAACTATTTAATTGATATATTTCAGATTTCTATAGTCAATAGGTGCTATAATTGGACTTTAAATACTGAGCTGCAACTGTGGTTTTTTTTCCACTGATGACAAATATGCCCCTCTTAAAAATCAGGTATAAAACTGAGAACGGGCAAAAGCTTGAGCCAATTGAAGAGGTGACTATGGAAGTTAATGATGAGCATGTGGGATTAGTTATGGAAGCTTTGTCTCACAGGCGAGCTGAAGTCACTGACATGGGTCCTGTCCCTGGAAATGTTGGCAGAACTAGATTGTCTTTGACATGCCCATCAAGGTTAGTGGTCAGTGTGTATTTTCTCGCACCAGTATTTTCTATTCATTATGCTTTAGGCAAAATGCTGTAAAGTCTAGTACTACGGTAATTTTCTTGATTGTCATCCTTGGGAATTTAACAAGCAGTGATTATGAAAGCTGTTCGGCCAGGTAATATTTTTGTTCGGCATGGGGGGTTTTTGAGAAGTAGATGTTCATTTGCGGAAGTTATTCCACTCACCATTTTGTGGACGGTTTGGAAGGAGAGGAATAGGAGGGCTTTTGATGGAGTTGATGTTTCTAAATGTTTTGATATCCTATAGAATAGATGGTTTAAAACCCTAGAGTTTTTGTTGAGGGGTCATGCAACAGTGGTCATGGAGGCTTTTAGGAATTTTTGTGTTCATGACGGCTGAGATTGTAAATTGTTGTAAATGGATTGCATCTTCTTAGTGCTTATAGTAATACATTTTATACTGTTTAAAACCCTAGAGTTTTTGTTGAGGGGTCATGCAACAGTGGTCATGGAGGCTTTTAGGAATTTTTGTTTCATGACGGCTAAGATTGTAAATTGTTGTAAATGGATTGCATCTTCTTGGTGCTTATAGTAATACATTTTATACTGTTTACTTAAAAAAATATTTTTGTTGGAACAGTTGATATCCATAAAATCATTGAGCAATCCATAGTCCAGATTTCGTTTAACCTTTTCTTTTCACGTCTAAGCCAAACTTCGACTTGCCATGTACTTATGGCCTTCAGTTGTTTTAATTCTAATCAAGTTGCAGGGATGGTTAGACAAACTTTGGCTTCCCATGTACTTTTTCAGTCAGATCTTTCTATATGTATCTGACTAACCAGGAATATTCTGGTCTGGGATTCACTTTAGACAAATTTAGAAGATTAAACCCTCTAGAGTGGCGTTCTTTATGTGGGAGGCTGGAAGGGGATGCGTCCTGACCATTGATAAATTGATGAGGAGGGGAATGATATTGGTGAATGGTTTACTTGTGTGAAAGAGGCGCAAAATCTTGCAATCATATTCTTCTATGGTGTCCAATAACATAGAAGCTCTGTTTTATGGTTTTTGGATGACTGGGGATCAGCTGGGCAATGGTGGGTTCGGTTAGAGATGAAATATGAGCGTGGAAAGACATTTGTGGGCGGAGGAAATATGTGGACCTTATTCTCCCCACCATCTTTTGGGTAATTTGGAAGGAGAGGAATAAAGAAGCTGTCAAGGGGGTTGATGATGTATGAATTTAAGAGGATCAGGAATAGACGGTTCCAGACTTTTGATTTTATGATTTTGACTCATCCTCTTCAATCTATGAAAGATTTTGAGAATCTTGTCAATATTTTGGTAAATTTATAAATAATTTGTATACGAATTGACACCCCTTTCATACTTGTTAATCTATATTTTTATACTTTTTATTTCATAAAAAGAGTTACAGGGACATTTATATATATACCACTAAAAATAGTGAACCTTTTACTGACATGTTGCTGAAAACTTTTCTGTTGTGTACTTCAGGGGCCTGGTTGGGTACAGAAGTGTGTTCAGCAGTGATACCCGTGGAACTGGATTTATGCATCGTGCTTTCTTAAGTATGCATCTCCTGTTACTGATAATTTTGTTTCTTCCACCTATAATATTTAAATAAGTTCACCCTCGGCCTTAGGTTCACGTTCCTGGGTCATCTATTTGAATCGAAATTTCATTCTACATTCTAATGCTCCAATTAAGGCTAAAATCAACGTGAATTTATTGTTCATATATATAGTTATATGTTAGATTTGATTTTTGTTGCCTTGGATGAAGCTGTTGTTTATGTGCAGCCATAAAATTATGTAAAATGGATTTAGTATTTCTTTTGGACTCTAGTATGGCGAAATGATTATGGACAACCTGGTTTTGGCACTGTTAGATGTTGAACCTGAAAGTGATAATTTAGACTCAATCTACTATTGTACCCAAGGTACCATTTCTTGGTGATAGAAGATGATTATATAATCTAAAATGTAGAAGAAGGGCATAAAACTGATCCAGTATGTCTTGTTCTTTATTTTCATTTACACTTCTGAGAAACTATATGGTTTGACATTATTTATCTATTCTCTCTGAGATGAGCTGCATTTTTTATATGCTTAGTAATCTTTTTCTCCTTCAATACTTTTTTTAGGTATAAATTTCAATGACGATTGCTAATGTGATCTAAAATTTGCAGCTTATGAAAAATTTCGAGGAGCTCTTGGAAATGTAAGGAAAGGAGTAGTGGTATGTTTACAGCAGGCCGTTCTCTATTCTGACTTCTTAATTGAAATTGTTAAAAGAATAAACTGAAATCTTGCTCTTGTTATTATGTTAAGGAATATTACATGGTATTTAAGGGGAGACTTAGGAATAAGTAAAAGAAACACTAAGAGGAACCTTACTATATAGGGGATTTTATATATAGGAAAAGATAATATATGAGGAATACATTATTATTCTCTAATAAATTATACAGAAAACATTCGTATCTTCTATTGCTTCCTCTCAACTTAAGCTAGTTCTGCCTAAACTAAAGCAAATAAAAAATTATTCAAACTAACAAAAAACTTGTGGCTTGATGAATTCCCCAAACAAGACGGAGAGTTCCACGAACCATCTCTCCATGAATTGAACCAACACCTTCCTTCCAATGAACAAAACTTGACAACGGCTCAATCAAATAATAATGAGCTCAACTAAGTATCAACTTGACGCTAGTCACCAGTGACTAGATACTGTGCACGAGGAACACCAACAATAAATCTCACCAACAATTTGCCACAAACTTCAATGAACTTTGTTAAAAACCTTTTGTTGAAGGGAACAAGCTTTAACTTCTGTGAGCAACAACCTCTAATAGCTGTTTTTTTTTTGTGGTCCAACAAATATTCACTTCCTTGAGCCATTCCAAAGCTGCAATGACTTTCTGGTACAACAACTAGTTCTCTCTCCTGAGACAAAGCTCTAAGGTTAAGAACAATAACTTTTCTGGGGCAACTTTTCTTGGCTGCCCTGAGGGAAAGCCTTCAGGTTCATGACAACAATTTTATGGGACAAATAGTTCTTACTCTTTGGAGTCAGCAAGCTATTTGAGAAATAAGCTATAAGATTTAACAACCTGTAATTTTATGAGTGAAATTGCACATGTGCAAATCTTGTTCTCTATATAAGTTCAAAGTACATGGCTTGTTATGACCTTGCCATCAATTCCCTCCTTTTGTGTCCAAAAGATTAAAAAAAGTAGAAGAAGCATATTATATGCAGATATTGATATCATGTATATATGATGTATTATTATAAGCAAAGTAGTTTACTGCCCTGTGACTAAAATAACTAATCAGCGATAAACAATGAATTATTTTGTTCACTTCATTGAACAGGTATCAATGGGCTATGGCACAATCACAGCTCATGCACTTATGAGTTTGGAAGCTCGTGGAACTCTCTTTGTAATTCCTGGAATGGAGGTTATTTTTTCCTGAAATTTTGACCATTCTTTACTTTCGTATTTTTTATCTTGGCTCTTGGCGGCTACTAGTTATTATTCATATGTAACCTCTAGATTTCTTATTTGACTTCATTGTTTGTGGAGTTATCTGCAATTTCTTGCATACCTTCTGTAACTTGCATGTTTTTTGAATAAAATAACTTGCATTGTTTTCTTAAAAAACTGTTTCCTTAATCCAAATTTCTTTTTTAGCCTTGGGTTGTAGATTTTGCTGTATGTTTTTAAACCATGTAGGAGTAAGGAAGGGAGATAAGATAGGCGAGTGAAAGAAATGGAGGGAAAGGATTATATACACATGCAAAATTTTATCTGAAATAACTAAAAACTATTAAAGGAAATTATTCATAGTTGAGTTGTGCTAGAATGCTGTATAATACTCTCATGGTTCAATTTTAATCTCAAATCTCTTTTCTTAAGCGGAATTTGTGGGTTACGAGAGGAAAAAGCTTAATGAATCTTCTCATTGTTTCTTTTCTCATTTCGGCACATGCAAGTTTCAAACTTACCATACTCTTCTAATATGGTGATTCTTGGTCAATGAAATAATCTATCTGGTAATCACTAGGATGCTTTTACACCACCGATGTACTGATCTATAAGTTTAGCACGTACAGTCTAATTCATACTCTGAAATATATTAGAGGCTTTATGCTGCTTGTGTATCATGCTAATATCTGATGTTATACAGACTTATGACGGTATGATTGTTGGTGAACATTCACGGGATACAGATCTTGATGTAAGTTGGATCAATAACTCGCATTATGTTTTCATTTATTTTCTCTGTGGTTGACTTAACACAATTATTGCCTCGTTACAGGTCAACCCTGTTAGAACCAAGGAACTTACTAATGTGCGTGCTGCTTGTAAAGATGAGAATGTGAAGCTATCTCCCCCACGTCTTGTATGGAACTGTCAACCTTTCAGACTCAAATCTTCTTTGTTCTACTTTCTGTAATTGTGCTTTTCAAATGGGTTTGGCTGTTCAATTGCATTGCGGTGCCATTAAGTTGGTATAGATTGTCTTTTCATCCATGAATGCCAATTGCATCCAAAAATGAAGATGAAGATCTAACCTGACTGGATCCAGTCTGGATCGTTTCTTTTAATTATTTATTGTTTTAGTCTTTGGCCTCCAGTGTAGGAAACTTCTATATTTAGAACCTGGTCAGGAAAAGTTTATTATCACTGCTAGTTTGAGTAACTATTCAGACCATCCTATGAAAAAGCTCTTTTATTTAGACAACTATATTGGGAAGAAACTCCTGTTGTTTTTAACTTCCGCCATAGTTTTCTGTTGTTCTTTATCAACATGGTTTCTGACACGATATATTTGTGCAGATGACTCTTGAAGAAGCCATAGGATATGTAGCTTCTGATGAATTGATTGAGGTAAGTCGCATTTCAAAATTAATATACACAATTGAGCTTGAGTTGATTGTCCCCACCCCATCCGAAGTTGGTCATTTTCCTGTTCCTTTTCTCCTGTCCTTTAGCTGCAGCTGGAGTTTTAATTTCCTGGGATTAGTTACACATGTTGAGATTTCTAACAGTGGAACTCTTTTTTCAATGTTATTTTGCATTTTACATACAGGTTACACCAAAGGCCATTAGGTTGCGAAAGAGATACCTGGATGTTAACAAACGAAAAGCCATGAGCAGAAGACCGAAGGAATGAGATTCTTTCTTCAGTTTTGTAGTGTTGTAATGTAGTATATTCATACACATTCGTTTGGTTAGTCTAGGTTAATAACATAGCATACAAGAACCATTTTTTTTTTACTATAAGAGAGCTGAATTATGCGAATGGAGAAACGTAGAAACACTGCTGAAATAAGGTTTAGAAATTTGATAAAGATTTTATTTGCTAGATTAGAAACATAGCAACCAGTGGAACTGGTTCCTCGCATCATTCTAAGAATAATTTATAAGTGTATTTAACACATTCAAAGAATACTTATAAGTTTATTTCCTTTAGTTCTTTGAAGCATTCATCTACCGGACTGATGTTTCTCGTTGATTCTAGCCGCGGTTGTTTTATTTCATAATTTTGATATTACCTGATGACCCAGTTGAGATGAATGAGTAGTGCATCCGAAAGAGCTTCAAGGAATTTTGTTAAGCATCTAGGAAGTCACTATGGAAAAGGGTTAAAACATAAATTTGGTATCATTATTATTATTATTTTCTTGTTCTTCTCGTAGTGCCATTTTAGTAATTGCATACATTAGCCAGAAGTTCATCTCATATATATGTATATATACATGCATCACTGTATGGTCTCTTGTAGTGTCGTTTTAACAAAGGCATACATTAAAGTCCACAGTACGATTTACTCAAAAATGTTGAATGAGTAGGAAGGAAAGAAAGAAAGAGAGAATTCTCTTCTTTTTGGGGGCTATCGGGCTTCGAACCGGGATCCTCTTCAAATAACTGTTAGTGGTTAAGTCGTGCGCGCACTTAAAAAGTTCACGTGGCCGTGCGACCTCTCCCAAAGATATAACGAAACGTTTCGTTTTTTTTTTAGGTAGAAGATAAGGTAATATTGTTACAAATAAAGGTGACGATTCGAAACGTTTCTTTCTGTTTTTTGGGGGCCAATTTTGGGTAGCAGACTGTGTTAAATAAATATTGGAATTTGGCTTTGTTATCATCTACTTTGGGATGGGTGATGAAATCACGAAACGTCTTTTTCCTTCTCGAGAAACGTCTTGTGGATAACTACAATATAAATATTTTATATTGCTCTATAATCATAAAACGCTGATGTCATAAATTATTTATTTTATTTTCTGTATGATTAAATTTTTAATAAAATTAAATCAAAATTAATCTCACCCGACCCGAGAGGACCCTTTTCTTCTGAAAATAGACGGGTTGATTTCAAACCGGGTCATATGAACAGTAATATGTTTGACCATTTATGTTGTTTTGGGCATCCCTGTCCACCATGCGCGCCTAATTAGTCCCATGAGCATTTATGATCTTCTTCCTCGTCTTCGTTTCTCCAAATCTTCCTTTTTCCAACATTAAAATCCATCTTCTTCCCTCTCCCACTTTCTAATCTCTCTGTAAATCCCTCTCCACTGCCTGACAACCGAGCGGATTCCAAAATATGTCGCGGCAATCAGTTCCCAACCGAGCTCTTCAACGCACGCAAATTCTAACCAATCACATCCTTCAATCTTCTTCGCCCTCCAACTCCTCGCTTTCACCTAATGTTTGCCTGCAGTTCTCTGCTCCCGAACTTACGGAGAAATTCGATTTTGACGTCAGAGAAATGCGGAAACTCTTGGACGCTCACAATCTAGAGGACCGTGATTGGTTGTTCGGGTTGATGATTCAGAGCAAGCTGTTTAATCCTCAAAAGAGGGGAGGCAGGGTGTTTGTGTCCCCGGATTATAATCAGTCGATGGAGCAGCAGAGAGAGATGACGATGAAACGGATCGCTTACTTTTCGGATAAAGGGGTCTTCGATGGGTGGTTGACTGAAGAGGGACCCAAGGCTGAACTTAAGAAGCTAGCTATCTTTGAGGTTGTTGGGATTTATGATCACTCTCTCGCGATTAAGCTTGGTGTTCATTTCTTCCTGTGGTATGCTTGCTGTTATAATCCTTTTTTTTTTCCGCTTATTAATTGATTCTTTAAGTTGTAATCTTATTGTCTATATATCTTTTTTTTCGTCTCTAACGATGTTTTAGTATGATGCTTTTAAAAGAATAAGTTTTCCTAGAAAGTAACATTAAGGTTGCGAGAAAGTTTGGCATTTTTTTCTTGTTTAAGTATATATATATATATATTTCAATTTCGTTTTAATAATTTCAGTGTTTTATAGGTCAAACTCTACGGAGGTGTTGTGTGATTTTTTTGTTTGTTTAGGTGCTCCAATATTTGAGAGAAGAAAAAAGAATTCTTGGTATTGAAATTTCTTGTTTCCTGTTGTTTTGGTTGCTGAGACATGACATATTCCCGGTGTTGTCTCCTGGCTACTGGTATTAGCCTCAGGTTAGTAAGGAAGAATTTTGAGATGACTAGAATGAATTGCTAGTATTCCAGTTTTACTTTCCATTGAAGATATCCAAGACTTGGAGTCTTGTAGATCTTTAAATTATATTTTACATGGACGTATTAAGTACATAATTTACTAGCCTCTGCAGGAATTTAACTATAAAAATGACTGGAAGTCCTGCTCAAACTATACCAACTGTATACGCTTTGTTTCCCAATCTAAAGAGACTAAAAGCTGTTTTCTGCCTCTTATCTATTTCGTCACTGAAAGTGAAGGAAAAGGAAAATATACACAATTCATTGTCATGCTTAAAGTTAATAGCAGCTTAATCGAGTTGTTTCCTTCTTGAATGGAACTTTAACCTTTGAGGTGGAAATGTAGGCGGTTAGTTCTGATTCTACCACTGTATTATTCTCTTCTCTTGTTTATGGCCTAATATCTATACAAGGAATTAAAATTCGAGTGATCTTAGAAGGATATTCTATAACATATTGGATTCCATATGCTTCTTCAAAATTTGCAATAATTTTTTTTCTTCCATAATCGAGATGTAATAATGGTTTAGGTTGCAAACGAATATATCCTACTGAAAGTGTACTCAATTTAGGCAGTTTAGTGATATTTGAATGCTGTTCATGGCCTGATATTCCATTTGGTTGCCAAAAGTGGATATAAGGGAATAAGTACATAATTTTTTTATCATATGTAGGAGCAGAACTAATCAGTCATAGTTAAAATGGTTGAAATACCGAAAGCATGTTATAACTATTATATTCTTTCCCCTTTGTTGGGTTTCAGGGGAGGAGCCATCCAGTTTTTTGGCACAAGGCGTCACCATGAGAAGTGGCTAAGGGAGACTGAGAATTATGTGGTCAAGGGTTGTTTTTCAATGACTGAACTGGGACATGGAAGTAATGTATGAATAAGTTGTCAATTATGTGTTCTTATGCACTAGGATTATCTGGTTTGTTGATGTTTTCACCCGTTTATTATTTGTGGGCTTGATGCTGTTAGGTACGAGGAATCGAAACTGTCACCACTTACGATTCAAATACCGGAGAATTTATCATCAACACTCCCTGTGAATCAGCTCAGAAGTACTGGATTGGTGGGGCTGCTAATGTAATGCTTCTTGAAGTTCTTCGTTAACTCCCGATTTTGTTAACAAATAGTAAATTTTTGTTTTTGTAAATATGCTTCATGCTACACACGGGATATTGATGTGGCTTTCCTTTGTTATGTTTAGCATGCAACACATACAATTGTATTTTCACAGCTCGTGATAAATGGAACCAATCAAGGAGTCCATGCATTTATAGCCCAGATCAGGGATGCAGATGGAAACATATGTCCAAACATCCGCATTGCTGATTGTGGTCATAAAATCGGTCTGAATGGTGTCGATAATGGTCGAATCTGGTATTAAAGCAGTAATTTTGTTGTCAAACATAATGCTCTCTTAGGTGGTTACTATATGAAGGTTAGAACTTCCATTCTAGGTTTGACAATGTCCGGGTTCCAAGAGAAAATTTATTGAACTCAGTTGCTGATGTTTCACCGGATGGACAATATTTGAGTTCAATAAAAGACTCCGATCAGGTAATATATTTTAGTGAATGTCTACTTCTTGTCTGATGAAAATAAATTAGTCAATTTGTTAGTTTTCAAAATTGTTAGTGGCACTACTATGTTTTGTCATCTTCTCCAGAGATTTGCAGCATTTTTGGCACCTCTAACCTCTGGCCGTGTCACAATTGCAGTCAATGCAGTTTATTCATCAAAGGTAAAATATTTTCAACATAAATAGGTTTTTGGGTAAATTGTCATTAAATGCTTGGGATATTAAATGAAAGCTTATTTGTTCCACTGCCCCATTCCACATGCCACATCCTATAGAAGATTATGTTTTATTTTTTGACTCAATGATACCGGAGGCACCATTAACTAACACTGTTGCGTGTTGAGTCTGTAATGTTATAGTTGATATTAGAGCTGATACAGGTCCACTGGTCATGGTAGAATGCAGATTTTATTAGGTTGATAAGTTAGCGAGCAGTTGGTTGCACTATTAGCTAGCCCTTCTTAGTCATGGGTTTCATGGTGTCCTATCCACAGTCAAGTTTAGATTGATTTCATATTATCCTTGTCAGATTGGTTTGGCTATTGCTCTAAGGTACTCATTAACAAGGAGGGCCTTCTCTATTACACCAAACGGGCCTGAGGTTCTACTGCTTGATTACCCCAGTCATCAACGAAGACTGTTGCCTCTCCTTGCAAAGACGTAAGTATCTCAATGAACTGCCTTTGAAAATTGAGCC